TATATAAGGAGCATGGCTAATAATCTTTTTCCCTGGATATTTGCCATTTGATGTCTAGGAAATACTCCATAGGGTTATAATTACTTTTATCATATTATTGCTTTATAGTCATTCTCAACATTTATGTATTTTCCTTCTCTTTTTAATAATTACATTTTCTATATTAGATAGCATTAAAGTTTTCCTACTGATGGGTCAAACTCATTTTTATTATGGTCAAAATCAGTTAATTGTTCCATACTATCTAACTTGCTAATGCTATTTCTAAGTATCTATTTTTCATAATAACTAGATTTGAGCCTTTAAATGTGTTTTAATTTCTCAGAGTTTGAAAAGTTAAATGTTCTCACATTTGTACTTACAGAGGTCACATAAATGATATTTAGTGAGTTGAAACTACTAATTATAGATATAAGGTTGAACTCAAGTGAACATTTTCCTTTGATATAGATAGGTCTGTTTAGATAAAATGGTGCATGATTTTAGCAACTTCAGTGCTAAGTAGTCATAGCAGCCCAGCAGCAGCAACAGAGACAGAATAATCTTTACTGACAGACGATTTTATAAAGAGCCAGGTGCACCAGGCCTCCCTATTTCAGCTGTGAGCTCATGGCAGAAGGCTGAGGTTCTAAGATGTCCACTATCTTTTCTGACTGATAAATTTCATGTAGGAGGAATATTATTGCTCCAGATGGTTTTTCAGCCTTTTGCACACCAGCTTCGTAGACTCCTGCTGAAATTGAAAATTGGTTTTGCTTCAGCAATTGACAAAAAATTAGATTAGGTTAACTACTTTTTGGTTTTAAATTACTCATACAAACTGCTTTCATGACTATGACAAAAGAAATTGAAATTCAGACTAAGTGATGCCTCTGTATGCATTTTCACTTAGACATTTTTCCCTGAGGTTTTTATAGTATCATTAAATTACATTCAGATACAGAATTTGCATAGAATCAGGCTCATTGAAATTTTGATGATCTTTTTCAATCCATAATATTGCTAGTAGTGTTTTTTATGGAAAACTAGCTAGATATTCTAAGTCACTGTAAAGATGATATAAAAATCCATCTATTATTAGGTTGGTGCAAAAGTAATTGTGGTTTTTGTCATTACTTTTAATGACAAATATTTTACTTGCATTGTGAAAGCATTTGTTGTTTACTTCTAGGTTCTCATGAAATGAGTAAGAGAAAGTAATTTTCTTGAAGGTTTGCTTGATATTCTCCCATGGTTTTTTTTGTGTTGTTTTGTTTTTCATTCAGATTTTAAGCATTGGGAGAATAAAACAGACATATATTTAGCAGTTTATAAATGAGATCAATTGAAGCCAAACATTGCGCTTATAGTTATTATCAGAACATATATGGGGAGACACTTGAAACCTCAGTTTCCCAGTTGAAATATCCATGAGACATCTGACTACTAGGAAAGGGATGGGGTCATGTTACACAATCTGGCCCCAGTTGTTCAACAGGTATTTTGCAATCACAAATGGCTGGACATTCATTAGCACCTCTAGTCTGACTCCCAGCTGGGCATTGGAACAGAGAGTGTGTATACAATATTGGTTAAGAGTTTGGTTAAAAAGAAAAACAAAGCCCAACATTGGAAAAAGAGATGACATAATTTGGTTCCAATAAGGCTATTCTGTGCCTACCATATGCAGACACTTTTTTAAAGACATGGAGTCCTTCAGCTCTGCTGCCCAGGCTGGGATGCAATGGCATGATCATAGCTCACTGCAGCCTTGAACTCCTGGGCTCAAGCTATCCTCACACCTCAGCCTCCTGAGTAACTGGGACTATTATAGGCACATGCCACAAACCCAGCTAATTTTAAAAGTATTTATAGAGACATGGTCTCACTCTGTTACCCTGGCTGGTCTCAAACTTCTGGACTCAAGTGTGCTTCTCACCTCAGTCTCTGTATACAGACATTTTTTTTTACTGGCCACTGAGAAGTTTTGAAGATATATTTTCAGCTGTGAATTGCTGCTGTGGCTCATTTGAGATAAGGTAAAAACATTTCTGATATTCAAGAAAATAAAACAACCCTGTTCCCATTCTGTCCTCTTGATTTCTAGCATCTACCCTTTGGGGCAATATCCTCAAATTCATGTTCTGTCATCTTTTGCCATTTCTAACTGTCCCTTAACCTTTTCTCATCATAAATCATTACCTGACATTGATGGGGCATTTACCTAAAATTGTGGAACATTTTGTAGAACGAAGCTGTGAAGCCAGAAAAGACATTGGATACAAAGCCTGAATTCATGATCAAGGACCAGTGAAAGACAAAGAATCGTGTTACAAAATGAGAAAAATAAATAAAAATAATATTGGTCTAAGATTTCAAAATGAGAAAAATAAAGATAATTATTGGCCTAAAATTACTAATTTTCTTTTTTAGTCAAAAATGATGTCCTTCCTGACTTTTTGTTATTAAAATGGACATTCTTTTATGAAATGAAGGTGATAATAAATGATCATTGTTGTCACTAATTGACAAAATCAGAAGTGGTTAGCTCTAAAGTGGAGGTTCCACCTCTAATTTCCAGTGTTTGCTTCCATAGATCTAAGAATGTGGGAACTACTGATCTAATTCAGCTAACTACTCAAACCATGTATTCCATCAAAAGAAATCCTAACAAGCAGTAATCTAGCCTTTCCTGAAAAGCCTTCTTCTGGATTCTCAGCCAGATGGGCTACCCATTAGGCTTTAATTGATGCAAATCTTCCCCTATATTGGATCTAAGTCTTCTGTACTAATTGCTACTTTTTCATTTTACCCAGAGAGGTATATGCTGTGTCTAATGTAACATTTTCCTAATTGTATTCCACAGAACATTAATTGTATGGAATTCTATGGATTAATTAATATATATTAATAGATATTACCACAAAAGGGGAGACAACTACAGTCAAATTATTTTGGAAAACAGTAGTTCAAACTATAGGTTATTTCTATACTTCAAAAATGCATTTTTGGGATAATACACACACTTTTACACTTTTTTTTTTTGAGACAGGATTTCCCTCTGTCACTCAGACTAGAGTTCAGTGGAGTGTCATAGCTCACTCTAACCCGAATTCCTGAGCCCAAGCAATCTTCCCGTCTTAGCCTCCTTAGTAGCTGCAACTATAGGCAACTACACCACATTTGCCTAATTTTTTTTTATTATAGAGATGAGATCTTGCTTTGTTGGCCAGGCTGATCCCAAACTCCTGATTTCAAGCAATCTTCCCACGTTGGCCTCCTAAATTGCTGGGATTACAGGTGTGAGCCATGGCAACTGACCTAACAAAACATGTATTAAGCATAGCCGGCAGTGTTCTATTTGCTAATCAATCTATACTGGGTATATTTAAGAAGGATATGTGGTCATCTGAGTTCCTGAAATTTTTACTATGGAATCATTTCTCTTTTAAGCAGTGAATGTTATTTGGGGCAGCAGCAAATCATTAAACAAACATTATATTCATTTTCTCTTGTTCCTTTCTTTAACTTTTCTTACTCTAAATTGCTTTAATCCTTACTCAGTTACATGATTCCTGTATCCTTTTACTTTGCCCTGGGCATGCCTCAGTTTTGTCTCTGCTTCTGTTGAAAATATGGTGATAACTGAGTATAAAAACGAAACTTGTTTTGACCTAGTGTAGCTTGGGTGCTGTCTTCTTTTTCTGTTTGGATATTTCTGTCAGCATTAACAGAAGTCATTTTTATTTTGTCGTGTTCTTTTTGTCAGTTACTTCATGTGGTTATCAAATACTTAACTATAAATCCATAATAAGTACATATATTAAGAACCAACTTGTTAGAGCTGGCCCGTCAATGTGTCACATCAAGATCTTTTTGGACATTTGTTAATTAGATTTCAAAGAAAGATACCTACTCAAATATCTCAAGTAAAGACAGGATATTGTAGGGAATAACTCTGGAACCATGACGACAAATATTTTAGTGACACAGTGAAGCTCATAGCATTGCAGAAATAGCAACACAGCCAAGTATCAGGAGTTTTGCTGGGAGAACCCATGGTGCTGCTGTGGCATTGGGCACATGTGAATGAGAATGCGGTTTAGGAACTGGAAGTCCATTGTGATGCAGTGATGCCGCAGCGACTGTCATCTCATTACTTCTCCCCTCCTCTCTTCAAGGATCAGGGCTCTATTATTCTCTCTTCTAGTTTTCTGACATTAATCTCATTCACTGATGTCTGACTTTCTTTGGGATTTCCAAATCTGCTCCTGCTACCACTTCCTAAGTCTTACTGTGTATTTCAAACTCAAGAATTGGCTCATTCATTATACTACTGAGTATGTCTTATCCAATATCCTTTTTTCAATCAAGCAATCCTTCTACTATAGCAATTTTAATCTGCCTTATGGCTATGTAACAGTTTGATTTTTGAATATAATTATATTTAAAACAATCAGGATTAGTTAGTTATAAGTATTATCACAAGGAAACTAAGTTGATTAGTATAGCATAAGCAGTTCTTAAAATGTGGTCCCTAGGCTTTGCAGAATCAGCATCACCTGGGAACTTGCTAAAGGCATCATCCCAACCATATTGCATTAGAAATTCTGGGATGGCATTCAGCAATCTGTATCCTGTCAAGCCCTCCAGGTAATTCTGATGCATGTTCAAGTTTAAGAGCAGATGGTATAAAATTATCACTCTAGCCTCTAGATTTATGGTGTGAGTGCCAAGAATAATGACTTTAGGCATAATTGATATGCAGAAGCTCTTTCTGATAATATTAATTAACAGTTTCAGCTGCTTTTTAAAGTTGTTTTTTGACAAGAGGAGAATTATAAGTATGTAAGATCATGCTTTTTTTCCTGTTTGTTGTGACATCCAATTGATAAAAATACTAGACCAATTTTTGGTATACAAGTTTACTATAATAAACCTGGACTCTTTTTTTTCTTTTCTTTTTTTTTTCTTTGAGACATAGTCTCTCTCTGTCACTCAGTCTGGAGTGCAGTAGTGCAATCTACGACACTGCAACCTCCACCTGATGGATCCTCCTGGCCTCATGTGATCCATCTGCCTGAGCCTCCCAAAGGGCTGGGATTACAGGTGTGAGCCACCACACCCAACTCCAAACCTGGATTCCTAATGTTTAAAGTACTTGAAGAGGAATGTGGATCCCTGCCTATTCTGGTTCTTATGTATTTTTTTTTTAATATAACAGCTTTATTGAGATAGAATTTACATACCATACAATTTACCCATTTAAGCTATGCAGTATCTTTGGTATATTCATAGAGTTTTGCATGTATTGCCACAATTTTAGAATATTTTCATCACCCTAAAAAGAAATACTGAACCCTTTAGCAGTCATTCCCTGTTTTTCTCTCTCACTCCATTACTCTTCCCTTCTCTTAGTCCTACACAGCAAGTAATTTACTTTTTGTCTCTATGGATTTGCTTATTCTGGATATTTCAGATAAATGACATCATACAATGTGTGGTCTTCTGTTTCTGTTTTTTCCACTTAACACAATATTTTCAAGATTTATACATGTTATAACATGTATTAGTGCTTCATTTCTTAATTTCTAAATATTCCATTTAAAGGATATACCATATTTTACTCATGTATTCATCAGTGAATGGACATTTGGGTTGTCTGTACATTTTGCCTAGTATGAATAATGCTTCTGTGAACACTCATTTATAAGTTTTCATTTCTCGTGGCTATATACTTAGAAATAGAATGACTGATTCACATAGTAACTCTTATATTTAACTTTTTGAGGAACTTCCCATCTATTTTGTAAATCACACATTCCCACCTACAGTGTTTGGGTGTTTCAGTTTCTCCATATCCTTGACAGCACTTGTTATTATCTGCTTTTGATTATAGTCATGCAAGCGGGTCTGTGTACTATCTCACTGTGGTTTTGATATTTACTTTCCTGGTGATTAAAGATGTGGAGCATTTTTTCATAGGCTTATTGGTAATTTATTTGAAGAAATGCTATTCCTATTTTTTGCTCATATTTTAATTGTTAGTTGTCTTTTCATTATAGAATTATAAAAGTTCTTCATATCTTTTAGATGCAGGCCATTATCAGATACATGATTTCATAGAAGTTTTTTGGGATGAAGATTTAAAAGAGCAAATATGATTCCTGTGAATGGAAAGAGAGATTAATGAGACAATAAAAAATTTATTTTCTTTTCAATGAAACACAGGGTAGCAGTGGCTACTAGGAGGATAATTTAACACCAAATCTACATATTATATATTCAGGATATTTAATTGAGAGATTTTTTGCTTGAAATTTGTTGAGGAGAAAGCCAATGCAGAGTTCTGAAGGAAAGAGAGTTTTTATAAAGAATAGATAGCTGAGTACTAACGAGTCACACAGGACTGGAACTATATATAAGTTATTCACTCTGTGAACTATGATCTTAAATATTGGTGACACAATTTCTCTGGCATAGTGGGACAAGAAGCAAAATGCACTCGTCTTGTATATGAGAGAGAAGAATGGAAATGGAGACAGAATAGACTTACCTCCATTAAGTTGGAATGTGATGAGTAGGAGAGAGGAGCCTGGTGAGAAGGTGGAATTAGGGTCAAGGAAACAGAGGTCAAATCTTTGAAAGATTTAAGCATGTTTGAGGGAATGGAAGGAAAGTGTGTGGAGAGCGAACAATCAATTGAACATAAAAGAGAAGGGGGGAGCAGAATCTCAGTGAGGTAGGCAGGAAAGATTACAGAACTCACGGGGAGCTGTTCAGTATAATGGTCATTGGGAACTCTTAGAGTTCCTCAACCTTGCTCAGAAGTGGGATCTAAACACACAGGTTATACCTTTACTGTTTACATGGGCCTGTTGATCTGAATGAGGTTTCTAATCTTCATTAAATTCCCTCTCCTAATATATTTATCTAAATTTCTATCAAATGGTCAGGATCGATTCATTCATCAAGAAATGTTCTTTATTAAGAAATATTCTGTATTATTTAGTTATTTTTGCAGTAACATTCTGAAGTTTGAGGCAATATTTTAATTCAAAAAAATCTCCTGATATCCCTTATAATATCATATTTTAGTGGCTTAAATATACCTCCAGTCATACTACAATTCCAGGTGGCATATAAAGTGGAAAATGGTTACAAACACTGATCACTTAGCTGAAGCAAATTTAATTAAACAATAGTCTTAACATTTCTTTCTAAATTATGAGCTTCCCTCAGATGATATTCCTTTTGTTTCTATGGTTTATGTATGAAGCTTTATTATTGATGTGATTTCACTATCTGTAGATCAAATGTTGGAAATCAGACTTTGAACTCAGCAGGAATCAGGAGACCTAGCTTTCAGTCCTGTTTGTGTGGTTAACTAGCTCTGTGTCCTTGGTCAAGTCACATTAATTCTGAATACTTTGCTTCTTCATTGTGAAAGCACAAGATCAAAATGCTAAGTGTAAAGTCCTGTCCGGCTTTGATATTTTGTGAGTCTTTATGTCAGTTTAGAGTTGGGCCTTCTTTCATTGTTTACTAACCCAGATCCCCAAGTGAAAAAAAATGCAGCATCCTGATTTAAAGGCATAATATTCCATAATGTCTTAGGTTCTCACGGCTGACTCCTTCAATTGACCACAAATCTTCAAAAGAGAAATTGTGATGTTTCCTTCCTGTTCTCAGATTCCTTCACATATAACTAGCATTGATCTAGAGCTGCTTGCGGGGCTGTCCCAGTCACAGGTCTTCTGATCAGCATTTGTGAGCTTGTTAGGACCTAGGTTTCTTGCTCGATATGGACCATGATTATGATTACTATTTTCACACCACACAGCCCAGCTCTGATAGAGGGTCCCAGCAATTTGGTATTTTCTTTTCTAAAGTCTCTGTCCAGATCTAAGAACTATAGAGTGTTTTTTGGTGGGGAGAGAAGGTAATCAGGAGGACTGGGGGAGTGCTTTCTATATACTAGGCACTGTGTTAGGTGATCTGTAATATAATTCCAATAACTTTTTAAACCTATTCTGGGATCTAGGTAATCACAACATTATATATGTGAAAACTAAGGATAACACAGGTGAAATAACTTACCCAAGTAAATGGAGGGAAATGATCTGAACCTCTGACAGCTAACATCCAAAACGTCAGCCCTTAGCTGCTCTGACTTTGTGGACCTATAGTAAGTTTGGGAGGAAGAGTACTGGGTTTGCTTAGAAGGAAGAGTTTTAATGTGCCTAAAACTTTTTTTTTTTTTTTTAACCATGGGTGCCTGGAAGGGCAGGAAGGAAGTGGGAAGACTTGAAGAATATGAGAAAGGAAAGATTGGTAACCATATCTATGGAGGAGAGAATATTCATTTCATTTTAGGGTGTCTGTTCTAATGGGAATCAGATTTTCCCATTGTTAATCATAAATGATCATGAAGGCAGTTATTCTTTGAGTTGCTTCCTTGTAATGATGTAAGAACACCGTTAATCAGTATTTTAATTAGGTTATAGCATGAAAATTGTTTTTATATTTCTCTATGTAAAGTTTCCATGAGTTTTACATAGTTAACATCATTGGTTTCTGGATATCTAAATTTATTTTCAGCACTAGTAACAGGCCGTGTTGTATTCGTTTGGAAATGTATTGCCTATGATGTGCATTATATCCTGTTGGCAGCTGCAGCATTGTATTAAAATGAAGCATCGCCTGTAAGCCAGATGTGTGCACTCGTCATGGCCTCATTTGAAATACTGCATTATGAAGAAACTGATAAAATGTTCACAAATCTATAAGGATTATTTTGCATGTGTTCGATTAAAATGTAGGGAGCAAACCATTTTTTTACAATACAGAGGTTAGAAGTTCAGCATGTAGTGAGTGTACACTTTTGACCAAAGTATAAAAAGATGATCAACACTGAAATCCAGCTTCATATAGCTTATAGTCTGGTAAAAGAGACAGATATATGACTGGGCTTTCAAAACCATACCATAGGAATTAACTTTGTTGAGTTTATTCTATTTACCTACTGAAGCCATACACCATAAGATGGGTCAGTGCAGCCTTTAATCAAAATCATTTTATGATGTGGCACTTAGGATTAAAAAAATCATCATAAAACTTTAGAATGAGAAAAACTTGGCATAATGGCAGCTCCCCAGGAAAAGACCTAGGGATTTCATTTGTTCATAAAGTTATTATACACGTAAAATGTGGTGAGCCTCTATACCTAATACAACAGGTACAATGGATAGAAGTCTGGGGAAAGAACAAATGGGCATGGGGGGAGACTTAATCTGTGCTGTAGTAGTTAGATCACATGTAGAGGAGGGGGCTCATTACATTGTGGAAAAGACTGACAAAATGATGCTTGTCTGTAAAATAAATAAAAATAGAACAGCTTCTCATAAGGATGTTTTAATTTAAAAATGTTAGTTAATTTTAAGACCAATTGGAGTCTGTGATGATGATGATATCACTAAGGACAATGTTTATTGCATTATCTCATTTAATTTTCTGCCAATCCAGTGAAATAGGTGATTATGATCACTTGTTTCACATATAATGAAATGCATACAGGGAAGTCACTGCACTTCCTGAGATCACATGGCAAGGAAGAGGGAGAGCTCAAGCCCATGCTCTTAATGGCAGTGCTGTGCTACATCAAACACAGGCAGTTGCCAGTCCTTAACACTGTGTGAGGAGGGAGAGTGACTGCATAGAGTATAAGGATACAGAACTAGCCATTGGGCTAAATTTTGCAGACAGATTGCCAATACCTTATGTGAAAGAATTTTATAATAGGCAGAGATGCTCAAAAAAAATGGCAGGAGGAGCTGTCTTAGATATATTTCAAAATCAGGAGAAGCTCTTATCTTTGGTCTGTTCTTTTTTTTTACTGTAGAGTTGGAAATTTTCAATTATCTAGGTACTAAGGATTGTTAAAAGCTTTCATTGTTGTCTTATTATCTTAAATTTCTTTAAGACAGATTCTCACTCACTCTGTTGCCCAGGCTGAAAGTGCAGTGGTACGATCTCAGCTCACTGCAATCTCTGCTTCCAGGGTTCAAGCTGTTCTCCTGCCTCAGCCTCCTGAGTAGCTGGGATTACAGGCATGTGCCACCATGCCCAGCCAACTTTTGTATTATTAGTAAAGATGGGTCTCACAATGTTGCCCAGGCTGGTCTTGAACTCCTGGCCTCAAGTGATCAGCCCACCTTAGCCTCTCAAAGTGCTGGGATTACAGGCATGAGCCACTGCCCCTGGCCTGTCTTAAAATTCTTGACTTAAAATAATATTAAAGAGCAATTTGTTATTTCTCATACTAGTTCCAGTCTAGATTTCTTGATTTTTTTTCTTTTCTTCTTCAGAGACAGAAATAGGATATTTCATTCAGAACTCAAAGTGATCATCCTACGGCAGGACTGTGCAACTCCTTCAAAGAAGAATGATCTCTGAAAGCTCTTATTACCTTCCCTGACACAGCAGTTGTCTGTGACATTACCTAATTTGAGGCAGATGAATGATAATTCCTTTCCATTCTTCAAAAGCCACATTGCAAAAGAAAGCTAGAAGGAAGTCTAGAGAGAAATTCTTATTGAATTTTGAAAATATAATATGTTTCATTTGTAACAATTCATATAAACTGTCTCTGGTAAAGATGCACACAGATCTTAGTTGAGCTTACATAAAATTTTACAAAGTCACCATTTCCTGTAATGTAAATTACATAATGCTGTCTTATGTAATTGTTTAAATAACATGTGTTGAACACTCAGTATGTGACAGGCAGTATTCCAAGTACTTTACACCACACCAACCTGGGGAGTTTACAGTGAGAAATATTCTCTCTTTACAGACATAATAAATGCACAGAATGAGTAACTGTCCAAGGTCACTCAGGTAGTGAGTGTCTTAATTGTGACTTGAACCTGAACATTCTTGTTCCAGGGCCTACACACATAATCAGGTTTCTAGATGGCCTTTTGCTATCCCAATTTGTTATGCATGAAAAAAGCAAAATTATACATTATGTGGGGAGCCACTGCACACTGAATCACTTGTTACCCACCCTGCTCCTATTCTAAGATGTCTTCCTGCACTCTAAATGTTGGAAACTCAAAAACCACCTTTCCAAGAGTTCCTTGCCACTAGACTTCTACCTGTGCTCTAGCCTCTGCCAAGTATTCAGTTGTCTAAGCCTTGGAATGTGTGGAAATGAGATACAGGGATGGCAGCAAAGACATGTGATAGGTGCTTTTGAGCATGCTGGTCTAGTCTTTGGCATTATAACTGTTGAGCAGTGGGTAGAAGCAGCAGCAAGATTTCCTCTAGAACACTCTTAGAGTATGGGTGGAAGCTTCCATAACTGTTTACTGTCCTGTAATAAAATTCTTGCTATTTAAGCTACTAGATTACATTCTCTGCAAACAAGATCCATAATGAATGCAGAGGGCTTCAAGCCTACGAAGGGATATTGGTACAGGAAGTTCTCTGACCCTTGGTGTCCCTCCAAGTGCTGGAAAATTGAACTAGAAGGCTAATTTTAAATTTAAAATTTTTCTGATTTTTAAGACAGAAGGTTCTGAATAGGGTAGACAGGATATCCTTCATCATTTGCTTAAGCAATTTTTTCTATAGAGGTTATCTCCTCCCTCCTGAGTTAGCCATATGACAAAAAGCATTGCATTTCTGGGAGAAAATGTGCCTCTTGTGCTGTCTTGAAGAATAACTAAACCAAAACAATTAAGGAGATCCTAAATGAAAATTGCCTATTATATGAGTCCAATCAATTCTGGAAAAGCAATAATGGAATGGGAGTTTTCTGATCTCTCTTGTCTTTATTTTTCTTTTCCTGCCCTCTTCCAACCCCCAAGTCAAGGGGAAAATGGGAATGGCACTGGACCTTGAAGGAATGGTGAATATGGTGGTGTGGAAAGCCTCCCTGGAAGGGAACAGTCATTGAGAAGGGCAGGATGTTTTTGAAACAGGGAGTCTACAAGTTTCTCTGGGGTAAAAGCAAGTGCAGAGAAGCAGGGGAAGATAAGGTTGGGGAGAGGAGCTAAGAAAGATCTAAGGAGTTAGTCTTCCATTTTGTGGATAGGCTGACAGTTTTTTTAGTAGGCTTTTAAAACAGTCTTTTTTCAGAAGATTAATATGAAATTGGTAAGTTAGATAACTGGAGGTGGGAAAGAAACAGAAGGAAAATAGTAATGAAGCTGCTTCACTAACCCAGCAATGGGAAATAAACACCTGAAATAAAAAACTGGAAACAGAAAGGACAATAGTTAGTAAAGATGTACTGGTCTAACTTAAGAAATTGTTATGGAAACTGGGTATAAAAAAAGATCTTTAAAAAGATAAGAGTGAACATTATTGTCATGCTCTCTCTATATATATATATAAAAGAATACACACATATTAAAGTATAAAATGTGAAGATTAATCATCCTTGAAGCATAATCCCAAATACAGTGTTAGAAAAAGATTGCAAATATGAGGGAATGCAGCTTCTCACAGACCACTCATTCTTTGTAGTTGTTTGTTAGTGGAAAAAATAGTTACTTCACAATTGAAATCACTAGCAACAAATATCCGAAAGCTTCTGGGTCCACCACAGCAACTCTCTCTCCATCTAGACACAATTATGTTTTCCAGGCTGTAAACTAGGAGAAGCCTCATGCTACTGTTCTCATGAGTCTGAAAAAGGAGGTCATTCTTTTGAGATTGTTGAGTGTTTCTCTGAGGTTCTTTATCCAGCTGTGACTTCTGTTTTTATTTTGCTTATACATCTTTATAAAAGTGACATTGGAATATTTACCTTTCAATTGAAACCTGCAAGGGTCATAGCAGAGCTCAAGATTACTTTTTATTTTCCCTCACAGAAAATTTTAAAAATACAAAATGTATTTTCAGTCTAGGGTTGCATCTCTCATAGTATTTAATTTCAAGTAGATCATTGGAGAGCACATGCTATAGACCAGTCATACTTGTGCATTCAATTTTCCAAGTCATGAGAGTGCCCAGAAGGGGTTCATTATGCTCCAACTCTTGAGTAGTATGCATCAGACCAGTACCAACCTGGTGATTAAGGGACTCTAAATCTGTTTACAGTAACAACTTATTTTTCTCAAGGTAATTTATTTTTCAATTTTAGCTACCCTAGGACACATTAAGGATGAGGAACCAAGTTTAAAATTCTCTTACGGCCTAAAATAGATATAGCAATGTCTACTGCATAAAGCCCATATGCTTTCCATGGGTAAATCCCTTGGGGAAATATTACTGTTATTGTAGATCCAATATTAGAAAGATTGTGGCTTTCCAGGCCACAACAAATTAGAAGCAAGAAATTGCAAGGGGAAGGAAAAGATGATAGAGACAAATACAGTGAGTGCATCAAATAGTAAACGCTAGGCGTTTCACTTTAAGAAGATAAAGAGAAATAGAATCCTTATTTCCCCAGTCGTGGAAAAATTATTTGGAAGTACAGTTGTAAGTAAAATTCTTGTCTAATCCTATAGCAAGTTCTGGAAAAATTATGTCCCCATCCAGTACCTGTACAATTGGGTCCAACACTCAAAGACGTGCAGCCCTTGCCTTTGGCCTAATATTGCTCTTATGCCATTCTTAGCCCCAAGGTCTCACAGGACTTTCAGTTAAGTTGAGCTTCAGTAGCAGAGGACCTAAGAAATTCTACCATTTTACTGTCTTGCACCTTGATTCTTATATGTTCCTGCTTTGAATGTTTGGGGCAATGAGCTAGGCTGGAAAGCTGATAGTATAAAATTATTTGGGCTTCTGTAGATGTCCTCTGTGCTCGACAGCCCTCTGTTCTCTCCCACTTTAGGAGAGTTTCTTCCAGGGACAGCCTGAAAACTCAGGTGTCTGGGAATTAAATAATGAGATCTACAATCAGAACCATGGGGACTGAGTATTCAGTTTGACCCCTTCTAATAAGAAGAGTTGTAGCACTCCAAAGCCTTTAGTAAGATAAATAACTTTCCAAACCTCAAATACTCCTGAGACCATTATTGTGTTATAGCACAGAGTAATCCTTAATTTTGCTAATGATGACCCTGAGTCATTATGAAAAGGTTAAGTTATCCAACATAAAGTTTAATCAAGCAATGCCTACTATACACAAAAAGGCAAGGAAGAATTGAATACATTTTGAGAAGCTGCCCATGAAAATGTTTTATCACTATTAAGGCAAGATAACTTTAGGCTATTTGGTAAGTTAAATTCTGTGAAACACTTATGTACTGTCAGTGCTGGTTAAATGAAGCGTGTCTGTATTTGACTGTGTTTTCTCATAAGACAATGTTATTAATCAATAAACATGAATACCATGTCCCTACCATGCCTATGATGTCTGTGTCTACAGAGCCTAAATTAGTTTATAATTGACACTTTAAAATCCTTTTTCAGTAATTCATGCAATAATCCATATGGTTGGAAAGCTTGTGCGAAGTTGATCAAACCATTTTCCCTGTTATTTTTAAAAATATAGATCTGACCTAAAGAAACGAATTTACTTCCTAAAGAGAAGTATAAATTCAACCTCAATAAAACTAATGTTTCATATTTGATGATAAATGCCTTCAGATATTAACTGGAAAGACAAATTTTGGGAGATATATATGGATTAGTTTCATTTGCTCTTGAATTTTAAATTTATGCATCATAGACAGGGTGTGGTGGCTCATGCTTGTAATTCCTGCACTTTGGAAGGCCGAGGTGGGTGGATCACTTGAGGTCAGGAGTTCAAGACCAGCCTGGCCCACATGTTGTAACCCCACTCCTACTGAAAATACAAAAATTAGCTGGGCATGTTGGCAGGCATCCATAGTCTCACTACTCAGGAGGCTGAGACAGCAGAATTGCTTGAGCCCAGGAGGTGGAGGTTGCAGTGAGCTGAGCTCATGCCACTGCACTCCAGTCTGGGTGACAGAGCAGGATTCTGTCTCGAAACAAGTGATCCATTGTGGATATAAGTAGCAATTACAGAATTTGTACTTTCTTCCTTCATGATTTTTGCTTAATTATAATTTTTATGTCAGCAGGATTGTTTAATATTTTTATTCTTTAATGTCATAATAAGTAATACACATTCATGTTTAAAAATCCTTAGTAAGATAACTAAGATTTTTATAGATTTATTTATTCCACAAATATTACTTGAGTGTCTACTTTGTGCCAGTACTAGGGACACTACTGGGGACACCTTAATGGACAAAAAACATCAGCCTTTCTAGAGTTTACCTCCTGGCGAGGGGGAGAAAGGGAGTATGTGGAATAGTAGTTTACACTTACATAATGCTTTCTATGTGCCAAGCACTGTTCTAAACACTTTCCATATATTAATTCAGTTAATTCCTCACAACGTCTTTAAAAGATACAAACTGTCATTATCATCTCCTATTTTATGCACAAGGAAACTGAGATACAGAGAGGGTAAGCAGTTTTTTAACATTGCACAGAAAGTATTAGAACAACACTTAAAACCCAGGCAGCCTGGCTTCAGTTGCATGTGTTCGTAAGTATTGCACATACAGTATAGTCATGTTACTATTCTGCAGAATTTAGAAAATCATAACAATATGAGCAGAATCAACAATTCAGTAGGAAAATTTAGTTACTGAAAAACAGGTTAATTTGCTCATAGTAATAACAGTAGAATAATTTATAATTTCTATTCCAGAAAACCTGAATTCTCTTATAAGTCATTATGTAGAGATTACCCAAGTAGACTCACACTTAAGACTCTTCAATATGATTTGGCCTTAAGTTAATGATTCACTAGAAATTTTAACTCGTCTCCTAAAGGTGCAGATTTAGTAACTCTACTTGAGAATCACTTATTCACATTTCTGATGATGATTCTCTTCCTTGCTGACAAACAAGGACCAAAAGGAACATGGACAACATTATGAAGTCAGCAAAGATGATTTACTTTACCCCCAACGTCCTTCTGCCTCTTTTCCACTTTCTCCTTAGAAACTTCAGAGTATCTTCCACTTACTTTTGTCTTATTTCTCATTTTTACACTATCACACTGAGGGTACTTATCATCATAGCTAAAAAAATTGATCGGTTAGTAGGCGTATGTCTCATAACACTTTCCCTTCTGGCAGTCTATTTGTATTTTGTCCTAGGACATTTTGAGGGAATGACTTAATTCTAGGAAGTGCCTCTAAGTCACTGTTAGGCACTAAGTAGGACTAAAGGATCTGCGTTCTGGTCATTTGATCTCTGGAAGTCCCCCCAGATACTCTTGTTAGGAAACTACCAACCCTGTGCCTGTAGGACTAGTTTTTGTACAAGAAGATAAATGCAGTGTTATTAAATTAAAGGCAACATTTACTTATGTTTATCATTAATCTCTTGTAGAGTTTGCCTTTAAAAAATGTAGAAACTTAACTGATATGAAGTTTTCAAAATAATTGGAGTCGGAGAAAGTGAATAGAAGTACAGATAAAATAAGATTGGCCATGAGTTGACAATTATTAAAGATGTGTGATGACTTGATAACTACTGAATCACGAGAATTCATTAGGTTATCTTTCTATTCTTATGTCATTTTTTCACAATGAAAAGTTTTAGAAAGATACAGAAATTATATATACAAAAAATACTTTGACATTTTGCTCTATGTCTAATTCAGCCAGGGTTAATATCCAATGTGAAATTTTGGTCATGCATTGCTAAGAATTTATGTAGATGATATTATGCATGTGGTACTATAAAAAATAATAAATCATCTTTATTAAAATGATGACTGTGTTCCATGACTAAGATATACATTCCTTGATTTGAGTCATAGGGGAAAAATGTGTTCTTTCTTTAAAATATTTTTGAGTAATGAATGCTGAAACATAACGAATAAAAACACATGCTCCATTTAAAATGAGATTTCAAGTCTGTGTCCCTTTAATTACTTTATATACCAAAACAAATGTTTTTAAATCATATTTTGATATCCTATGAAGGATAAATTTATTTGTGCCTTCTTTTGAGCTCTGCAAACTCAGAATTTTAAAAATGTTAGCATACAGATTTGAAATGTTTTTCTTTTCTTGTTAGTGTTTTTCTATACACGATTTATTTATTTATGCTGGATAAAGCCATCCTTTACAGAAGAGAAACATTTAAAATATAGAAAATTTTAAAGAAAAAAGGCATCTGCAGATCTTTAATCCAGAAGTATCAATGAAAACCCTTAGGGCAGTGATGGCTTTTCACCATACCTCGGTACTGCCCCAGAGAGTTAGGGAGACAGCAGCTGGGATTGTTATGTTCTGTCCAAAAGGCCTCCCATTCTCAGCAAATAATTCCTTGCTTGAAGCATGACACAAAAGCATCATCAGAGCTATAGGATGTCGAAAAGAACCAGGTGATGTCTGCTAACCTGTGTGCATCTGTGGTCAATGGCAGTTGGCTCTCTGTATGCTCTGCTGGCAAGTGAGACCTCAGGACTTACAAATAATCAGCGGGTGTTCAATCTTGGTGGAAACTGAGTGATTTTACTCCCGTTGCACAGAAAGTTTGCTGTACGTAGGAAATCCTCACCCCGCATATATGTTTGCTGTGTGTAAAGGACCAAAGGATTGCCCTATTTACTCTAGTGGAGGACAGTGGAAGAAGACTGGGTTTGAGGGGGAAGTATTTATGAGCTCAGTTTGGAAATGTTGAATTTGAGTTGCCTTTAACACATCTAAGATGTCAAGTAGGCAGTTGGAGAAGATAAAATTTAAGTTAGGTTGATAAAGAGACAAGAGACTTTTCCAGGTGAGTTAGAGCATGTGCAAGGTCACAGAGGTAGCCATATGAGGGAATATTATATTGACAATAAAATATGGTAAGGTATTGCCAAATGTAGAAAACCTGTTGCTTATGATATGCAGTGATGATATCACTGATTTATCAGCATAAAAAGTTGGTCATGCATGGGAATTTCATACTCTTTAACCAAGAAGCTTCAGAATGAGATTTTCTGTAATTTTCCTCTAACCTAGTTATCACCCTAAACCAGCTAGCTATGTCATAGATGATAATATCTAAAAGACAGGGGCAAATAGGAAAGTAATTTTCTAGGAAAGGTAAATATAACTATGATATTTCTTCACAGGATAGGGGTTATCACCCAATAGATGTGCCAACTCAAATGACATTGAATCTAAATAAAAACAGCTTGCTTGTTTTGTTGTTGTTTTTTAGATTTTCTGCCATATGCAGCTTCAAAACAGTTTCCCCAACTCCTTTTAAAACCATATTGCTCCCTGCACAGGGGATCTGGAGAACCTGTGACTGTTTCCATCCTTCTCCCACTTCTCCACTTAACTTGAGATTATTTTCCTTTCTGAGTCACAATTCCATATGGTTTCTGTTTCCTTCCTCTTACACAGCAAGCTGATTACCTGCAATCTTTTCGTTGCTACAATCTGTATTTTAACTCTAATTAATCTCACAAATGTGTGACAGAGAAATCAGTAGAAACAGTATAGGTGAGTATTAACTTATCCTTATTGATTGAATAAGTCAACACAAATTTCCTAATAGTAAATTGATAGCACTATCTTTAATGTCATAAACCACATGAGATAGTTATTCATTAGTTTACTACAATGTGCCTGGGCTGAGATTATCTCAAAATATAGTTACAAATCATAATCTAGCCACCAATTTGTAACAGTGCTTTGAATTTTTCTTTCAAACTGCTAATTTACATAATGAATAAAAGTAGAAATCACGTATTATGTAATCTGTCTTTTACAATCTATGTAAAAGTCTTTCCATTGCTATAAGAAACAGTCGATAGAAAAAAAAACCATATTATGTCTAAAACATAAAAAATCTCCAAACATTTAAATGCTACTAACATAATCATAAGTATTCTTATTTCCCCTTTCTTCTTGATGGTGTTTGTAAGTAATGAAATATATAGGGTGGATTGAAAGGTGCTATATCTCAGATATGTAAGGACTACTTTATGGTTTAAGAATATAGGAATTTTGAAAAATGTACTTTTCTAGTAAATTTTATGTACATATTATGAATTTTATAATGTTCTTTATAGATATTAGTATCAAATTTTACTATGTACTTGATATGACTTGCATAATACATACTTATCATTAGGATTTCATATTCCCATATGCTTATACTATCAGAAACACAATGAAAACATTGTTATCCAAGGAAAAGGTGATACTTCTACATTTTAAAGATAATTTTAGCTAATCTTGTTTAAGATACATTTTAAAATACCAGTGGGGCATAAATTTTAGGGAAGTAGTAGAATATCATTTTTAAAATGGAATCTCTACCTGAAAAGGCAGACCATAACTGTTGTACAGATGTAATATCTACTCACTGATTAAATAATCAATGACAGGGCATTTTGAGCTGTAATATTTTATTCTAAGAGTTGGAGGGCAGGCTGGGCACCTGTTATCCTAGCACTTTGGGAGGCCGAGGTGGGTGGATCACGAGGTCAAGAAATCGAGACCATCCTGGCCAACATGGTAAAACTCTGTCTTTACTTAAAAAATACAAAAATTAGCTGGGCATGGTGGCACGCTCCTGTGGTCCCAGCTACTCGGGAGGCTAAGGCAGGAGAATTGCTTGAACCTGGGAGGTGGAGGTTGCAGTGAGCTGCAATTGCACCCCTGCACTCCAGCCTGGCACCTGGTGACAAAGCAAGACTCTTGTCTCAAAAAAAAAAAAGAGTTGGGGGCAGGAAACATATTTCCAGCTATAGAAACACAGCCACCCAAAAATCGTGATCACATGTTGCTCTTTTTGAAAGATGAAATATTTAAAATTAGAGGAATTTTTAAAGGGTATATTTAATAGATATGGTTAAATAGAATGGTTAAATAAAAGATCAAAACAATTTTTTACAAAATTAACTACATGCTTACCATATAACCCAGAAACCTTACTCTTAGGTAATTACCCAAGAAACCTTAAAATGGACATCCACACTGGCACCTGTGCCATGATGTTGATAATCATTATCAATAGAAACTATAAATATCATTGTGAATTCTGAATATCATCTATATTCATAATCTTTAAAAGCTGGAAACTATCTGAATGTCCTTCAGCTGGTAAGTGGATAAACTTCTATGATACAGCCAAATAATGGAATTCTACTCAGCAATAAAGAGTGGGAGCTATTGATTTTAACCATGTTATGGGTGACTCTTAAATATGTTTCATCAACTGAAAGAAGCTAGACCCAAGTAACTACATATTTGACTTCAGTTATTTGACGTTTTGGAAAGAGTGTAGGGATGAAGAGCAGTTCAGTGGTTGCAGGGTTTGGGGGAGAGGACGATAGTTGACTAAAAGGAGCTGCACAAATGAACTCTGAGTGTAATGGGACTGTTCCACATGCTACTTGGGTGGCAGGAATGTGACTGCATTTTTCAAAGACCATGGAACTGTGCATCATCAGTATGAACTTATACATGCAAATAAATTTTCAAAAGGATCAGCCTGAGAATCTCAGGATGAAATGGAGACTGAGAAAGAAATCTAACATTTTACAAATGCATATTATAACCTCACTAAGAGTAGTGTGGTGGGGGAAGTAATTGACCTAAATAACTTTGGGGAATACTGTTTTCTCTGGAAATTGAAAAGCTAGAAACAAAAGGAACTGTGCATAGGGATACCCATTAGCAATTCTAAAGCCATGTCATATGTATTAATATATGTGTGTCTTTTAGATTATGGGAGCCAGATTTATCACCATCAGATAAAAGATAAAATAAGCAAAGGGAGCAGCCTAGAATGAATCCTGTGATGTTAAATTGGAGTTGGAGCCATCAGTAGGCATGAGATATAGTATTGTATTAGTCTGTTTTCATGCTGCTGATAAAGACATGGAAGAAAAAGAGGTTTAATTGGACTTACAGCTCCACATGGCTGAGGAGGCCTCAGAATCATGACAGGAGGTAAACGGCACTTCTTACATGGTGGCAACGATAGACAATGGGAAAAAGTTATATTATTATATAAGTGCCTACTTATATAAATCAATAAATACATACCTAAATAGAGAACAGACAAATATTCCACTTTGAACACTTTCAAATAACATATGTAGATATAACTCCCTTCAGAGGGTGGAGCTTAATTTCACTCTGCTGGAAACTGGGTCATATTTAGTGTCTCACTTACAAAGAATAGTGTTTGGAAAGGGAGAAAGAGTAACTTTACAGTAGAGAAACCTGACAGATACCACCTTAGCCAAGTGATCAAAGTTAACATTGCTGGCGATATGTGACATTCATCTATGCGTCCCCTGACAGGATGTGGGGAGGAAGGCGCCTCATGTCTGTGAGAATGTTCCCCAAACATGTAATCCTAGTTATTATGAGAAAAAATATGCCATAAAACAAAGACAGGGGACATTCTACAAAAAGACCTGACAGACATTCTTAAAACTGTTGAGGTGATAAAGAAGAAGGAAAAGACTGAGAAACCACCGCAGACTTGAGGATACTAAGGGGACATGACACGGAATGCAGTAGGGTTCCCTGGACTGGACCCTCAAACAGTAAGGAGACAGTGGAAAAACTGGTAAATAAAATCTGCAGTTTTTATTAGGTTGGTGCAAAAGTAAATGTGCTTTCTGCCATTACTTTTAATGGTAAAAACCGCTATTGTTTTTGCACCAATCATAGTAATATGCCAAGGTTAATGTCTTAGTTTTGACAAATACACTATAGTCATGTAAGGTGTTAGTGTTAGGAGAAGCTAGATGAGGAGTACGCAGAAACTCTCTATGCTGTCTTTGAAACTAAAATTATTTAAAAATATAATTTTATTCAAAAACAAATGCATGATCTATATGTATAATGATTTGGAACAATTCCAACATGGATTATTAAATGCAAGGAAAACCCCCAGCAATTTGCAGACCAATATGTATAATATGCTACTATTTATATTAAAATGTGTATGTATAAATTATCCATATTACATTGAGTATCCTGGAAAGTTTGTCCAAAACCTTGGTGATATTGATTGCCTTAGGTTTTCTGGGAAGAAGGGTGGCAGGAGATTTACTTGGAGATCTTGCACTTTGCTGCACCATTTAAATTCTGGTACTTGTGCATACATTTCTTATCGAAAAATTAAACTAATGATGTGTATGTAAATTTTAAAACCCCCCTTAGGGCTTAAGAGTAGCCCTAAGGAAGGTGGGGTAAGGATGAGGAGAGAAAGGTCACAGCTTTGAATCATAAGAACAACCATATGGTGCACGGGTGGGAAGGAGTCTTACTTTTTACTGAATAGATTTTTCTATCTTCTGATTTTAAAAATGCAATTAACTTTTTTAAAGGCCTACTTAGTGGTGGCATTCTAGTCATAGTTTCCTGAAGACTTTTTTTCTAGATCTTCATTACTTATAGTCTGTATGGGATTTTTTTTAAGAGTTCAGTATAAGATGATTATACTCTTGGGAATTTTAATGAAATAAAGATTTATTAGTTTCTGTTTGGGATTTAAATTTGCAGACTTCTATTTTCTGACTTTGAAAAACAAAAAGCTAGCTGATAAGAATGTACCTCAACCATCTTTTTCCATAAATCAACAGTTACTTTTAAAAGTCAACATGACTCAAGCAGGAGAATGTTGTAATATGTTAAACTTGGCCTTGTAAGTTAGATATCGAGTTGTGCTTTGCATTCGTTTTCTATAGCTGCCACTGCAAAGTACAACAGAGTGTCTTAAACAACTAAAATGTATTGTCTCACAAATCTGGAGAC